TTGGTCTTATTAATAATCCATGAAACCATAGTTGTTTTATGCGTTAGGAAGACTCTTTGTGACATTTGGAAATCCCAAACAAAACATGATTTTTCCCTGTACTTACAAGAGGACTGTATGTACTCAGATGCTGTGGGCTGCATTCTCTGCTTTCCAAACTCTTAATCAATCTGCATCAGAGCTTATAAACAAGTGCTGCTGAATCAGAACATACACATCTAACAGTCACAGTCGCTGACTTTTCACGGGCAGAAGGAACTTCACGTAACGTAGGACACCCAGGAATCAGTCCGTGGTATTAACATTTCTGTTTATATTAATAAAAGCTGTATTTTGTATTCCATTATATTTATTTAACCTTTGACATCTAAGCTCTGGGTCAGTTTGCTCTTTGTAACAGTGCATTTCTTCTTCAGTTTTGTTTCTATATTTAGAGAACTCATGCTCAGAAACAAGATTTTTTGTTTAATTTTTTCCCCCCTAGTACATTTAATCTAGCTTAGGGGTTTTGGTGTTTCTCTGCAACCTATAATTTACTCTGCCAACTCAGATACTGTATTGCTGCTTTTACCACAGTTAAAGAAACACTGTCAAGTCCTGTTGAAAGTTTTTTTTTAGCCTTCAGCATGCTCTTCACTATCTCATATGCAGTCCACACGGAGTAAAATATAGCCATTTTTACTGCAAATAATACTATTTTTCTCTCCGTCTCTTCTCCTATCATTTTTCCTCTACCATCATTTTTGGCAATGGAGCTGAAACAAACCCTTCAGTGACAATCCGGTGTACAACTGCCTGGATGTCAGCAGGAAAAAAAAATAGCACATTTGGTTCCTACAGCGCAAGGGCGGCTCAGAAATACACAGTGTGTCCCACCCAAACAACGGCTATTTATTAGCTACGTCCCCCCAACAAAACAACCTTTTAAGCTGTGTTTTGGTTTTCAGCGTTTTGCACACACAGCAGTGGGCGATGCTGCCCGCCTCCCCGAGACTCTCAAATTTTAGCTCAGACAAACTTGGGCTTGGAAAAGTAACGGCCACCCAAAGGGTTTTCTTTTATTCCAGCCGGACTTGAACTGCAGAGATTGCCAGCTCCTTTTCCTGCCTTCCGGGGAACCCCTCCTTTCCCTTCGCAAAGACCCGCGTCTGTTCTTGTATTGGCGGGGGTGAAAGGAGCGCTTCTAGCAGCCGTGATGTTGTATCAGCATTGCTGAAGGCAGAATTGGGCCCAATATATCTGACATGCCAGAATAGGAGATCTGCAAGTACAAACTGTATTTAGACATGAAAATCAGGGAGATGCCCAACTATTCAACCTGCCTGGGCAAATGCAGCTTTTCACGCACCCAAAAACAGGCAATAAAGTCAAGTGGCTAAGCCTAAACCCAGAAAAGGCTGTTTTGGAGACTGTCTTTTGACACTCTGGCATTTACTACCATCTTTAGATTGTGGATTTATGAGCCCGGACCTTTGAGTATAATTTCACTCAGCAAGTATCAGTCCTACACGAGTAAAATAAAAACCGGCACATATCCGCAAGACCGGTGTTAGCACCACCAGGCTTTGCAATATCGCACAACGCGAACTGTCAGCGCCTCAATCGATACCCGTCAATGCTCGCCAATAAAGGCACAGTGCTTCAGGTGGGAAAAATTAGCCCTTATCAGATTTACCAGTTCTCCAGGCAATACAGGATCTGGGATGCAGGCTGATTACGCTTACGAGATATATCATCAAGTACAAAACCGGCAGAGCTGTGAGGCGCCGCTACTAACCCGGCTTTTGGAATGCGGAGTCTTTGCTTTAATACGCATTAGAAGAACGGCAAAAAGCTCGCTCCGGGTCTATGTCCCAGCCGCTGCTCTCTTCCCCGTGTTGCTCTGCCTGCTACACGGATCAGATTTCATGGTTTATTGTTCTCCCTCCAACTGGCCACCATCCACATTCTTCTTCTGTACAAAGCTGCACCTCTTGCTCAAAAGAAGAGAGTACTATGCCTTCTTTTTATAAATTTTAGTCACATTTACAAACACACACACACAGAGTAAGGGGGTGACTTTTAAACACTGAACAACATTCCGGGCAATGCCGTTGTTTTTCTTTGAGCCAATTTCTGTGAATGAGGCTAAAAAAGGCAATTTTCCACCAGAAGGTTACTAATTTTTGAAGATGCAGAAGTTGTCTCCCCTGCCTCCTGAATCTTTAACATTTTGCGTTTTAATGAAACAACTGCTTTATGCTTGAGAAGTCCTGTTCATCACCTGCCTCAGGAGAGAACTGGCACCGAGATTCTGCAAAGCTCAAATTCACCTTTGGGTACACTGCTGGAAATCAAAGCCACAGTCACTGGAGCTACTTCACTATAATGGAGTAAAATTGGCACACAGCAGGTCGGGTCCAAATTTCAGTATCAATGTCTCAATGTAAAGAAGAAATCAATTGCAGACAAATAACAGAGCTACACGCTAGATTCAAAGAAACGTAGCAAGTGTCCCAGAATTTTAAGGTTTCCTACCTAGAATATTTTTTCCATGTCATTTTTCTTTTAATTCAGCACTCAGGATCCATTTTCTTCTATGAGATTTGCAGTAAAGTTATCAAAACCTAACAAAATGTTCCACTCCTGAACATCCACCATCTTTCTTCGGCAGCTCAACAGACTGTAAAACTGAAGCACTGTCATCTGGTGTATAATTATTGTAATAAGTCTTACTTGTAAAGTGAGGGAGGCACCATAAGCTTACCTAACTAGTCTGAAAATGTAAAATGCTCATCACCTGTAATCATTGTCTTAACTGTCCTTGATCTTTACTGATAGCCGCCAAATTATAATAACTCTCTCTCTGACAGTGAGAATCAGCTAAAAATGCAGCACAGGCAGAGCACTAGGAAAGTTCCTGGAAGAGGGGCTATTTTGGCCAATTAAAGAGACTCACTGCAGGGATTTTTCTCCCCCCCTCCCCTTTTTTTTTTTTTTGGCCGGTCATTGATGTAGGGGGTTCAGGGGTATAAGGCAAAAATGCAAAGCAGGGAAAACTAGGGCACAGGAAACCTCAGGAATCCAACAGGGACGTGGCAATTCCACACACCCAGCGGGGGAGCCAGAAAAAAAATATATGCTCAAAGGTTATGGACATACGATCAAAAGCGATCATGTTACTGCAGTTAACAGCTTACCAGCCATCATCCGAGATGCAGTAAAACACCATGAATGTATTCTTCACCCACACCGCCTCCAGAGTAAAACATCTAATGGCCAGTAATTCATGAAGCTGCAGCAACTTACTCACTTTCAATCCTATGTCCATCCATACTCCTAGGTCCCAAGCCAGCAAGACCCTCTACTTTGTGTTTAATTTGGGTCCCACTGAACGCAAACAGGGTCCTCACGTGCTTAAAGGAATATAATTGCTTCAGGCCTTTGTTGAATTAGGGGCCTTATATTGATAACCCTTTAAAGTGAACTATATATGCCATATCGTTACATGTTAGATATCTGGACAAGCAAATTCAGCAAGTCACCAGTCCTTCCCAGCTGTCTGTTTTAAGCTGCTGTTACCGAAGCAAGGGAGTACTGAGCGTGCACAACTTGGAAAAGAGTAAGTCGATCCTAAAGTGGCACAGTGGAAATGCACCTCATTGATTTACCACTAAGAAGCTGACATTTAGTAACTCTCCCCTTATTTCTCATTGCTATCATAGGACAAGGTTACACCAAGTCACCTACACTGAAGAAATCCACCTCTGTAAGAACCAGTCACTCAGCAGGGAAGAGGAGCAAAGAAACCCAGGCACTGGAGTGTATTCCCCAGCTAAGCACCACGCTCTCAAGCGGATCCTAGCAGAGCTTCAGAGATCAGCCTCTGGTTTGCTGGGTGTGAAGCGTTTCAATCCTTCACGAGGGGCTGGTGGAGCACCTGTGTGCACAGGTAAGCAGCTTGAAGGATTCTGCTTCCAAAGTGTTGGTTCAGCCTAACAAGGTACTTGGCTTTGGTGGTGAGGTTCAGTCTGTCTCCTCCTGTTCTTCCTAACAGAAAGATAGCTATTTGTTCCTCACACCCAGGCTGCTCTCAGACTGACTCCCCAAGCCCTTCCATGCTCTGAAGTCCCTGGTCCCAGTAAATCTCTCTTATCTGGGGTAGTAGCGGATAGTGCTTCGCACTGCTCCTTGAGCCTCAGGAAGAAGGCTCCTGGAGAGAAATCAGGGCCGTGTCTCACTCCTGCCAGCTGCATTTCTGCACTTACCAGCTCGGTTGGTATCACAGATCAACCAAGGGTGGGGAATGGCCCTCATCCAAAGCCGGGCATTGCTTCTGGCAAATGCTGGTAACAGGTATTTCAAGTCTGCCTCTTTGTACTGTTTGACCTGCTGTCCATGAAGGAGTCATATTTTAACTTCACTTCTCGCCCCACCTGATCTTTTCTAGCCTCGGAAGCATAACACAGAGCTGACTTTGTTGAAGGGCACTAAGGAAAAAAAATATATTCCCACTAAAAAGATGATGGGAAACATGTTATGGGAACATGTCTACAGCTTACATTACAAGCTAAGTAATACCACTTATACACGTAAAAATAATTTATTTCAGTGGTATGAAATGTGTTTTGCCTAGTAGCATTAAAGTTCTCCACTGGGCTAGAAGAGATAACGCATGGTGGCATTACAGTACGTTTCAATTGAAGAAATAAATAAAGTTACTTCTGATAACACCAGGACGTTGCTACTGCCTTGTCCTTGTACGCACTGTGCACACCCCAGAAGTTTAGCGACGTCGCATTTGAAACACAAAGGCAAGTGAAAATAAGAAAATAAATGACTCAATATTTTCACATAAGCCCTGTAAGACAGAAGAGACGTTCTCACCTGTCTGCTTTGAGATGGCAGTGTGGCAGGCTGCATGTGTCTCTGCATCCGATGTGGCTGCATCAGCTGTCGAAACTGCTGCTGGAGAAACTGGCTGTTGTTAGCCGCCTGGGACTGCTGCGGGGCTGGAGACTGCTGCTGCTGCTGTGCTGCTGCTGCTGCTGGAGATAGTGAATGAGAGACTGCTGCCCTTGTCCTGCTGTCAGAGGTGACATCTTTTGAGTAGCTGACTCTGAGGCAAAGTGAGACAGTGGTTTGGTGTTACTGAAAGAAAACTGGTCTTGGCTAACAGGGCTCTCATTCACCAGACCTGGCTGTAAGCTACTGGATGGCTGTGGCATAATTATGTTCATGTTTTTGGACTGGTTTGTAGTCATTGATTTAAAAAGCGAGCTCTGCATACTTGTGGGGTTGCTGGTGGGAGTGATGTTGGAGATTAATGTACCTTGAGGACTGAAGGGCTGCTGATGCAGAGCTGGGCTTGACAGCTTTTCTGGCCTGTATGGAGGAGAAGGTCCAGTATTTGTGGAGGCCATGCTGGCGACCAAGTTGTTCTGTGGACTTTTAATGTTGGTCGCTGGTAAGCTGGCTGCTGTCAGGGTGGGCAGCATGGAGCTCTGTGGGCTGAAGGGCTGCTGGTTCAGAGCCGGACTGGAGAGCTTCTCAGACCCGTAAGGAGGAGAGGGGCCATTGGACGGGGTGCTGCTGGAAGTCATGCTTGAAAGCAGGGTGTTTTGAGGACTCTGAATGTTGTTTCCTGGTAAATTATTAGCAGGCATGCCAGACACCATAACATTTTGAGGACTGAAAGGTTGATGGTGCGGGGATGATCCTGCCCTGTAAGGCGGAGAGAGACCAGGAGGAGACATAGTTGGCCAGCTGGGAGCCTGTACTTGTTGTTTAGTAGTAGACACCTGCTTGCTAGCTGCCAGCTGCTTTAGCTGCTGAGCGTGCCAGTTGGAGCCAGGTATGTTGGCTAAGGGTACCGGCAGCATAGGTGGTGGCTGGTTCTTGCTCTGAGCTGCTGTAGAGATGGGCGATGCAGCAGGTTTGTTTGGGGGAGGAACTTGGAAGTTAGCTCCAGCAGATGATGGTCTCATCTGAGGAGATCCTCCACTGGTTGGATTGCAGCCTGGAGAAAAATCTTTGTTAGCAACATGGTTCTCCAAGTGGGAATTCTGTGGAGAGGACTTTGGAGTGGTACTTATGCTTGGCTGAGAATGACTCAGCCCAAGTGGCTCTTCAGCCTTGCTGCACAAGATCTTCTCCAGATCCAGGTCATTGGGAGAAGGATCAGGCATTTTTGTCAGCTCTTCCAATAGATCTTGCAGCTCTTGGTCCACAGACTGTAAGCTGTTTCCTTTCTCATCATAGTGGACAATGTTATTGGTTTGCCCTCCTATTGACCCCTTCTGATTTATTTCCGTGTTGGGTGGCACTGAAAACGGGGAACCAATGCCACCGCCATTCATGTGATTGTTTTCGAGGAGCACGGAATGACTTGCGACTCCCAGGGAAGAAGCGCTGTGACTGGTGGAGAACGGAGAGCTTTGCATTTCTGGACACGCCACATTGGGATTAGCACCTTGGCCCATGGCAAGGTTTACATCATCAAGACAAAGTCTTTTACTGTCATTTGGGAAAATGACATCAGGCACACCACTGGAGGCAGGAGAGCTATCATCTTCCAGTTTTCTTTTAATGGTTCCCTGTAACTGGGAAAATAAAAAAGGAAGAAGAAAGGATCCGTTATTGACCTTATTCTAACACGCTCTGAAGCTCCATACTGTAACATTGGGTTGGAGATAAAGAAAATTAAATCATACAATTAAAAAACCAACCATTTGAGACAAATTCAATCAGGATTTAAGTGGGTGCAACTTCACTGAAATCAAAAGAGTTACAGTCAAAGGCTAAATCTCACATGTTGGCCTTAAAACAGATGTTAAAGCTATAAAATACTGTCTGTCATGTGAACTGTAATAGAAGTTTTTTAAATAGTTTCTGGTACCATTTCAATTAAGACATTACACTCCCTGAATAACAAACATGCCAACATTTTTATGGTAACATTTTTTAGGTCTAAACAATGGCAGATCTGAACGAAACCCTGGACTGAATTTAGTGACCTTCTGCCAGTGACTCAGATTAAATTCAGACCCGAGACAACTAAATTGTTTTACATTCTTTATAGGCAGAACATCTGAAATAACTGGCATACTTTCTAAACAAACCAAACCAAAACAAATTCTCAACTATCTATCTAAACAGACGGTCAAGCTTCCTAATCACAGATGTTTTAGATTTCAGAAACCAGTAAATAAGTCTAAGGCAGTATGGGCTTTGTTCTTTTGAAGGATTGCAACTCATTCATAAAAATGGAAACGTTTTCAAAATACAATTATATAAATATCTTGATCTACAAGAAATGGTAGAGTTGTAAATCCACAAATCTTAGGGGAAAAAAACTGCCTTATACATCTAAAGAAAGTGAAACTGAAAATGGCTTCTAATACTAATTCAGCATGATATGGCAATCTCTTCCAAATAATAATCTGTGGCTTTCAATTTTAACAAGCATGACCTGTATGTCATAGGATTAATCAGACATTAACATTGCTGCTTCGAGTTGAGGGAAATAAGCATTATGGCCTTGTTTATCAATAGAGGGAGGCAGCATTTAGAAAAGTATCCACTCAGCAGTGGGAAAACCATAGAAAGTCAGTGTTCCTTTAAGCTGGCTCACAGTAAAGCCTCTCCCAGCCCTGGCCTACAATGGCAAGTGCTGCCAGTCATCTAGTACCATGAAAAAAATTCACACCTTGTAACAACAACTATCACCAGAAAAGCCCCACCACCTAACCCCAGCGTAACCAGATCCACTCTAGGGCTGTGGTGGGTATGACTAACTTCTAAATTTTACACGAATTATTAAGCACATCACATTTTTGCCTAAGAGTCACTACTCAATGGCCAGCAACTTTGGTGCTCTCAGACAACAGTGTCACAGGACAATCACCGTAGGGTGTGCAGAGGCTGCAGGGCGCAAGGTGGGCACACCTTGTGTGGCTCCTTCTGCAATGTGCATGTGAAGGTCCCTGTGCCAATGGTCAGTGTCCACCCCTAAATTCAGTCTATGTTCAGGCAATCGATCACAAACGTGCACTGTTCTGACCTGGGAACACGGGAGATCTGCCTGCTGGCTGCCTCAGAGGGACTCAACGAGTGCCGTCTCATCACTTACTTCTAAATTGGTGGGCAGAGAGAAGATTGCAGATTTGTGCCTACAGTTGCTTAGGCTATAGATGCAGTTTAGGGTTAGTATCAGACATTGCCATGCTAGTATCCAGCTTACACAGGCATTTGGAGGAGAGTGAGAGGATACAAGTTAGTTGTACATGATCATCGTGGCAGATGGAAAGGCAGGTCTACATACAACGGAGAGCTGCCGATCAGGTGTTAGGAGGAGTTCACCTACCCTCCATCGACACAGCAGTTTTGAATGGCATTGTGGCAAAGAGACCTTTTTAACATGGATATTTTACCCCTACTGTCTAAGAGTTATCCCCTACTAGAGCAATCAGTACTTCTCTCCTGTGACCTCTGGTTGCATTGCTTTAATGTGGGTTGCACTCAAAACCCAGTGGCAAGTGAGAACCAGCGGGAGAGCTGCTTTCAGTGCACCATTCACTGGTTACCTGAGAGCCCTCTTCGGTCAGCAGTGCTACGCGTGGTTTGAATCGCTGCTCTGCGAGAGAGCGCCTTTACATCACAGCCAGAGACAGCTGAAGCATCACTGATTTGATTATTCCTCTGGGCTGATGAGGCCAAAATTTGCTTAGCTTTAGGAAATGGAACAAGGCCTAAATCTTCTCCCAAGCGTTGGTCTAATGATGGATGAAATTGTTTTCCTTCATTTTCTTTGCTAAAACTAAGCCAGAGTTGCATGTTTCAACAGATGTTGCCCTGTGTAGGCTGAAACATGTTGGTAGAGCGTAACTTCATGTATTTAAACCCAGACATGTATAGAGAATCTTTACAGGGGCTTCACACATCCAAAATAAACAGAGTGTGTTCCCAAGTTGCACCCTGGGAACCTTCAGGCAGGAAGTGGTGGGGGATCTCCCATACTTGGCCAGCTGACATGCTGGCATGCTTGTCCTTGCCAGTGCTTCTTTTGCCATAGAACATTCCTATGCTCTGAGTTACTGGGGAAAAAAATTTGGGCTTTCTAAACACTTTGAAAAATAGTTTTTTAACTGTTGCACTGGAGAGTAAATGTGACGGGAAAACAAAACTCCATTTCCCCAAGACTATTACTAGATATAAAGAGATAAAATAAGGCCACAGCTTTCAGATGGCATGGGCATTCCAAAACTGGGGCAGGATTTTTAAATAGGATGCTGTTGCTTAGTCCTTGTGAGAAGCCTGGCTAAGAGAGGCAGTGAAATTAGCTGGGTGTTATGTTGTCTTGAAAAGCAAAACTCCCATTTCCCAGGTGAATATTTGCACAAGGACCATAAAATCCAGAAGACCAATTTCCCCCAGTGCAGGCAGGTATAACTCCACACAATTTAGCAGCATTGCTTTTGCTTAAGATAGATTTGACTACAGCCCCAAATTTGAGAGAGATACCATCCTTAAAGCAACTAAGCAAATAGAACAGAATACTTTTGGTTAGAAGGGAGCTCTGGGTGTCATCAGTCCTTTGCTTCAGGTACATCACAAATGCAAAAATAGACGACAGTATTTCACCAGGCACGTAAATACTTAGTATCAACTACATACAGAAATCCCTTCCTGGGCTGGATGGGCTAGCTGAGAGGTTTGCTTCAGTATTCCCCGCTGGAACACACGTGGTCATTACTGCCATGCAGCACGCTCTGTGCTGGTGCTGCCTGTGAGGAGCCAGCGTTTTTCTCCCCAGCTCCCAGCAGCTGCTCTCCATGAAGGTGCCACTGTGGCAGCCCTGACCAGTGCAGGGGACAGTAATGCAGCTTCGCATTACGGGGACGCTGGCTCAGACGTGCTAAGAACAACAGCGGCAGGAGATCATCACGGAGGCACGACGACTTTTAGGACCAGGAGCTCCTGACCGAACTCATTCAAGAAGCTGCTTGTTGCAGGTCATTCATCCAGTACTCTTGGACATCTCAAGACCATCTCTTTAAAACCTATCTATCCTTTTCTACTCTCTTCCCTTACTAAAAACATTTTTACTGCCCATCTCCTTCAACTGGCCCTGGATTCCCCAGGAAGGATCTGATTTATTCCAACTCTTTCTCCCCTTTCTTCAAGAGGACTTACACTATTTGACAAAATCAACAGAAACAGAAGAGCACCAAAATATGTTCTTCCCCGTTCTCTGCTGATTAGTATATTGGACGGCTGTGTTTCAAATACCTGACAAGTGAATAGAAATATTTTAAAATATTAACACACACAAACTTAAGCTGACTGGAGGTCGTATATGGCTAAGTATGGGAAAGCTTCATTCATATGTGCGAGCAAGGACAAAGCAGGCAAGCAACAAATGGGCTCTGGTGACCTTGTCAAAATTCATTAAAATGCATTAGCATGCACAGGCTAAATTCTGTTTGGGAGTACCTGGGAAACAAAGGCAGGCCCTCTGATTTGGGGAATATCTAATTATGAGGTCTCCACTATCTTAGGTTTGCTTTTAGAAGTGAAAGTGCCATGATCCCAGCACTACTGTCCTCTCAAAATCAACAGGCTGTCTTTCTGGGAAAGACCCAAGTTACAAACGAGTAGCGCTGCTAGCTCACAATGGCAATATAAAAAGAATAAATAATAACTGCTTACCCTGCTCCGTCAAGGCAGCTACACAGCCATGGTTACAAAGATCTACTTTGTCACACACCACCTCTTTGTGCACAACTGATTCCCTACGTGGGGGCAGAGCGCTCCGCAGGCTTCTCTTGTGCAAGGAAGGAAAGGCAGACTCGGCAAGCAAAACTAGTCCTCGGCTGCACTTTCTCCTAGACTGAGCTCTCTGAAGTTGCCTGCTCGGGTGACTTCTGGCGTCAGGCACTTTCCAAACTCAGGAGGTGGTGCTGGCCTTGCGTAACTTCCGTAACTTTCTCAACAAAGCAAGAAAGGAAGGCTGGAAATGACAAAAACTGAAGCAGCTAGATCAAATTGTTAATAAATATACACTGTGGTGGTTCCATTGGATTTTAATAACCAATCGAATGGGCATCTCTGGACTGGCTCCCTGCCTTGCTGTCACTCAGCCTTCCTCCTTTCTTTAATACATCAGCTGTCCTCAGTTGCCACTCCAGCTCTCCACATGAGCCGGCTGCCCCGTGGCCCTGCTGCCAGCCCCTGTTAATTCTCCACCCGTCACTTGCTCCTTCGCCTGCACGGTATCTGGGAGGAAAGAGCCACCGCGGCCCGCTCGGGAGAGTCTTGTTTCTCCAGCCTTGCAATGATCCCCCTTCCGCCAGAAAGAAGCCAAATCTAACCAGAGATTCCGATTTAGGTCAACACAATGCAGAAAGGAGAGAGAGGAAAAACATTAGGCGAGGTATTTCTGTGCCTCTTCCCGGCTTCTCCAGACTGTCAGAGATTCAAGCCTTGATTTACAGCAACCGCAGGGTGCTCATTATTGATCTGCAACCACCCCACCCCACTCGCTGCCATTGAGAGATCCAACCTACACCGGCGATTCCCACACCTACGCAGCTTCTTCAGG